GGGAAGGGAAAGGGAATGTCCTGGGGGGGAAAGGAGAACATAAAGCCCATCCTGTTGCTTGATTAAATGCCAAAGCAAGAAATTCTTAATTCAGTTTATGCACAGAAGCATGACTCTGTGCATTCCAATACAGGGATGCCAAGCTCATGCACTGTTCCCTAGGTAATGATATTTTTTTACTGTTGCTCCCAGAAAAGCCATCCTGCATGAAAGGAATTAAATGGCATGAAGCTTTGTGTTTAGCAGGGGACAGGAACCAAAGGCTCGGGAGCATGTTAGTTGTTAGTTTATATGTGCTGCCCCATTAGCACCAGTGCAGCTTGGAACTGAGGGGAAAAATCATCAAAGCCAGAGAATGAAAAGTGAGTTATGTTATTTACCGGAGCTGGTTCTGATGTTTTGGCACTCTTAGCATGTGTTTGTAGCCAAGTGGATGTTCGTCACGAACAGCCTTGTCCCTGAGTTTGTTCTGTGGAACTCTCTAATTCCAGTGTACCAGCCTGCTGCATGGCTATTGGCAACACAACATTGACACAGCACCTGTGCTTTGCCAATGCAGATGAATTTATGTCTGTGTGCAGCTGTGGGCCAGTGTGGTGGTTCTGGTGAGATCCATTATTAGGACCTAAAGTCAACCTGCAGTCTGAGAACCAGGCTTATCTCAAGTGAAGACTTAAACTACAGTATCTGAATAAGAGAGATCTGGCTCTTGCTCACAGTTTTGTGTTCCTCCCCACCCATCTTGCCCTCCAAGCTGAATCAGACACTTATCTAAAACATGTTTTATTCAGCAAGAAAGTCTGGACTTCTACCTTTGTAGAAGTCCTGTGTAAGAATATCCATGCAGGGTACCTCAGAAGTAGAGAATTAGTCTTTAATGTAGTCTTATGCTTTTTGGAGGCAGAGTTTTCATTCATAGCTACAGGGCAATGACATTCGTGTAAGAGGAAAAAAAAAAAATTCCGATACTCATGTTTTCCTATATCCTCAGTTCACCATACAGCAATGTTTCACCTTTTGAAAACACCTTTTGTTGAGACCCTTGAATAGACTTCATCATGTGAATGGTGTGAATAAGCCTTTTTAACCAGACATCAAAGATATGCTTGGGATGTAGCCTGCAATTCAGCAGTTCCGGCAGTTGCTTACATATGTCTGTGTTGGCTTTTAAAACTGTTATCTCAGTTTCAAGGCCCCATTTTGGATTTGCTCTTGCTATGTTACTCTATTCTGAAGGGAACCAGCTACCTGGCTGGTGAGTGGAGGCTTGCTGAGATGCTCTTTAGAGATTTTGATGTCCTAAATAGTAGGCACTAACCTGAAACGCTCCCCATAGATCGTTTTTTTGGAAAGGCTGCGGAACTGCCTTGCTTGAGCCTTTGACGGAATCCAATGTAGAGAGATCAGATGTTCCTTGACAAAAACAGACAAATTGTATGTGAACTCCTGGGGATACTTTACATATAAACATATAAAAGGATACATGTTTAATTTACAGCTTCCTGACAAATCAATAGCCAGCCTGGTGAAATTTTACTACTCCTGGAAGAAGACAAGGACTAAAACTAGCGTGATGGACCGTCATGCTCGTAAACAAAAAAGGGAACGTGAGGAAAGGTAGGTTTGCAAGCAGAAAGGCTGTGTATTGACGCACACTGATTTCTTCAGACTATCTCAGATTCCTGTTAGCTTTTAAGAAACTAGATGTAGGATTTTCGCCAAAATGTTTCCTGGTTCCACACCTTCTTTCCCCACCCCTCTTCCCTGCTGTGCATGTTTTGCTTTGCTTAAAGCCAAAAGGAATCTGTCGGCAATTTTTCAACATTGTGCAATTCCTGATTGCGCTCTAGTGTAGTGGTCACTGTCCCATCGCTCTAGAAGCTTTTTCTCTGATACTGCTTGAGGGTGGATAAAATGAAATTAAAACTGTTTACAAGCTGATTGGCACTGTTGTCAGCAGAGCCAGAAAAGCTGATAAGCAGGACAGTAAAAGGAAGTAATGAAAGAGCTAGAAATCTGCCTTTATTTCCTCCATGTGATGCTCAGTGGAGTGAAAACATGCACCTGATGGGGAACAGGCTCTAGTGCAGCACCCCGCAACCTGTGCATATGCACACACACCCTCCTCCCCTGCCTTTTACTTAGAAAACTGTTACCAGTATAAGGCTGTCAGGCCAAGCTCTGTTCCCTGAGAAAGATGAAGTTAAGGCTGTGTTTTTGAGTGACTGAGAAGAGGGTAGCACAGGGGAATTTAGGATGAGCTCTCTGGCAGAGGTGTCCCAAGCAGTGCTGGGTGCATTAGGATTTGGGTGAGGGCGGTGGTGTTTGAGAGGTCACTACCCACTGAGCTTCAGCAGATGAGCTCGACTCCTGCTTGTGCAGCTTTGTCTGCAAGTTCACCCTTCTGGATACCTGTGCAAGTCCTTGAAGGTAGGTCAGCCAGTGGCCTTGTGTGTATTGCTAGAAGTATCTGTCCAGTTAGAACTGCTGCTCGGTGACTTTGCCTAGTTCTGGAGCTGACAAGGCCTCAGAAATGCAGTAGCCTCAGGTGTGTGTGTGTGGGGAAAAAAACCCCTCTGAACAGCAGCAACTCCATCTGCTTGATGCAGGTGCCTTCTCAACTTGCTCAAAAATATAGTTAATGTCTTTGCAGACCAAACTTGCGGTGCACCTGGCTTTGGAAGACTCCTAACGTAATTGGGCAAAATTCTGCAAAAGCTTTTCTCCAAAAGAACTGAGTTGCGGCTCTAGCACTTCCCAGGGAGCTGTTTGCTGGCTCCAGTGCATAGGAGCAAGCCCTGTTTGGGAAGGGGGGAAGAAATGTGTTTCCAGGATTGAGCAGTACTACACCAATGACTCACTCAACCTCTCCCATCTCTCCACTGGATCAGCAATGCTTGCTTAACAGGCAGGGCCAGGAAGAATACTACCAGCCAACTTGTCCAGTATTTGGTTGGCTTTCTCTGACCTGAGTCTTTTTCCATTCTGTTCTTTTCCCTTCTCTGCAAAGGCTGTCTTGATTTTTCTTCTCTCCATCCTGCCTTTTTATAAGGAGTATGTGTTTGTCTCGTACTGTGTAGTTTAGGATCTTTTAATACTACCTCTCTATTTTTGTTCTGTGCTCATAAATTGAATTACTGCAATTTGAAAATACACCTCTCTGGTACCTGTGCCTGTTTGCTGGGGAAAGCAGCACCTCAGACCATGTGGTGACTGGGAAAGAACTGGATGGGCTGCCATGTGCTGTAATTTTGTAACCTTTGAGGAAGGCAGCTGGCTTGGAAATGCATAATTTGGTTTACATCTGCAGCAAGCTAAGCACCAGGCCATCAGCTTGATGTTTGATTTCCCTTCTTCCCCTCCATTATGTAAAATTGTCAAACCCCTACACCCGCGAAGGATTTGTCAGTGCAGCCATGCGGGGCGTGGAAGCAAAGCTGAGTGAGTTCGGGGTGCCCAGATTTTGAGGTTGTACTGTGCCATTGGGTGTTGGCAAAACTTCAAAAATGTTCTTCAGTTAATAGTGATCAATGTCTAAAACTGCAGAAATGAGTGGGTGGGTTTTGATCTAGCTCATGTCTGGGGAACTTGCTGGAATGGAAGAGCAAACTATGAGCACAGCGAAGCCCTTGGGGGTTTGGCCTTTGCAGAAAGGCTGAAATCTGAACCTAGGTGAGAACACAAGGAAGCTCTTTTGGAGATGGGGTTAAGAGAAGAGGCAGCCTGAGATCTCACTTGAATACTGCTATATTTCTTCTGTGGCTAGGCAGGGAAATTCCCCAACCCCTCAGATTGTCACTAAAATAGCTCCCGGTGCATTTGGGACCAGGTTTTCAGTAGCTGTTCTTAGTTGTACGCAAGGGGCTTTATGTATGCAGCTCTGGGAGGGGGTGCTTGTGAGTTTATCCCCTGGAATTGTGATTACACAAACTAAATATTTTGTGAATCAGCTGGTGAGCCATGTGGCTGGGAAGAGCAGGAATGGCTTGTACAAGTGACTGCTCTTCTGGAGATGGATGCCAGCTGAAGCCACCCAGCAGTACGTTCCTCCTTAGGCGATGTCTGCACGGGACGTCGCTGCAGCAGGGAGACAGCTGTGAGCAAGTGTTGGTACCGTGGCCGTGCTCGCTAGCACCCGCCGTGCCTGCTGTCCCCTACTCCTGGGTGAGCACACCCCGGTGGGCTCCAGCACCCCGGCACAGCTGCTGCTGGGGTTTCTCTGCACAGCCCTGCCTTGCGCTGGCGCTGTGACATACCCGCACCAGCTGGAGATCCTCGTCCCAGGCTATAAAGTTTGACATGACAAAATAGGTTTGTTTTTTTTATTTAAAAAAAAAAAAAAGAAAAAAAAAAAAGCTTTGATTAGGTCAGCTTATTTCTTCCTTTTCTGGGCATCATCCCAAATGGTGCAATTAACTTTAGTTGTGTACAGTACAAAAATTCTAAATGGTGAAAATATATTCGATTTAATGTCTGATTAAAATTCCAATGAAGCCAAACTGGCCAGGTGTGCAAGGTCACTTTCAGTATGGCCCAATTTAATGCCTATTATTATTCTGTAACTGATAACATCTTTTTCTTTTCCAGGGGAGAATGAAATGTGAGGCTGTCACTGAAAAAAACAAACCAAAACAAAACAAAAAAACCAAACCAAAACAAAAAAAAACAAACATTTTTTTTATGCTTGTTCTTGAGGGAATTAATCTTGTGCATGTCTATTTTGCTAAATGTTAAGAAGTTGTATGAAATTCGTGTTTTAGCAACTTGCTGTAATTCTAAGTCTTTGTTTTTGTCTCAGTTTGCGTAAACTTAAAATGCTTAATGTCCCATGTTCTTTAAAAGATAACTTGTGTATGAATTTCATGTATCTTGCCTTCATCTTAGCAGACTTATTTTGCCTAAGTACGCTACTAAGAAGTCTTTCTTTACAAGACATGGTCCCTAGTATTTTTACAATTAAGAATTTCTTGACTTAAAAACAAATAAACAAAAAAACCCACCCCAACCCCCTAAAAAACCACCCTGGGAATAAAACTAAGGAAAGCTGTTGGACTTGCTATTGCATACATCAATTTCTTTTAGCATGCTATTTATAGAAAAAGAGACCCTCACAAACTAATACAGTACTGTTTGCTTTTGTCTTCCAGTGAGGATGAAATGGAGGAAGCAAATGGAAATAACCCTATTGATATCGAAGTTGAACAAAACAAGGAGAGCAAAAAGGAGGTATAATTCTTTTCTTACTACAGTACAAATGAAAGTGTTTACTTACTAGCTACTTCATGTAGAAGCTGACAGTATCTAATTTTCTTTATTTGTGCTTTGTATAGTTGTCATAAAAGAAAAGAAGAATTGTCTTCAGAATTATTCTTAGATCAAGACAAGTATAGACAAATAAGTTATTACGGATGGAGCTGGGAAAATTTAAGACTTTACTTTCCTGTACTATCTGAATGTTTCTAGTCTCTTTGATTCAAGGTTGGCTGTGTTAGCTTGAACCACCTTCAGTGACGGTTTAAATCAACCTAACTGTGTGAAGATGGAGTAGAAGCACTTATGTCCCCACTGAGATGGCTTGGTAGAGGGGAAATATGTCCTTTATTCTAGGCAGACCAGCAAAAGCGTGTTTATCTACACCTTAGATTCTAATGTAAATCCCTGATGTACTGAAATCTTCAGCAATAGTTCTGAGTATTTCAGTGGCACCAGGGTTGCAACTACAGTGGTGAACAGTAGAGCAGAAAGCTTTTGTGTGGCCAGTTCATTGTGTCTGGCAGAGGGCCCTTAACCTGTTGTTATGCACAGAATATTTTGTCTGCTTAAAACATAGTACTTGCGCCTCACTTCACATACTTAATTTTAAGTGGGCATACAGTTCTAGATTAAAATAGAGCCACACAAATAAAACAGTTTTGAAAACCTAGTCTGTGATGCTTAACAGGAAAGTGTATACTTTATTTTCATGGGTATAAGCTGCTGGTTATCTGTTATTAAATAAAAAAGCCTTGCTGTTCCACAGCAGCATGGGTTGTATGTATGAGTGAGGGCTACAGGAAGACGTTTACCCTAAGGCCTTCTCTCCTTGAAGTAGCTCACTTTCCGGATTTCTCGTAGCCTGATTTCTCTCCCACAGTCATTCTCTTTCAATTTTTTTAATTTTTTTTTTTAAAGGGTAGGAAAAAACCACTAGAGTTATTTAAAAACAAGATTGCACACAGGCAAAAAAAAAAAGGGCTTAGAGCAGCTGCTTTGTCAGTCACTGTCAGTGAGATTAATTCCTCTAATAACTTATTCTGAATGGAAGTAATCACAGCATTCTAGTCTGTTCTTCACCCTTGCCAGGGTGCTCTCTAGGCTTTCCAGAAAAGCCTAGCTGTTGCTTCTACTGAAGGAACCGGCATCCCTGATGACTTGCTAGGAGCAGAGTGGATGTGAAGCCACTCACGTTCACCCTTACAAGAAGCTGAGTTTTCAAAAGTCTCAGCAACACGCAAACTGGAAAGGTTCTCACTTGGCTAAGTTGCAGCTGCATACTGCAGCTCTCCAGTGTGTCTTGTAAATAATTAATACTATCATCTCATTGCTGTTATTTTAATACATTTTCAAGTTTAGATTCCTCTGAGTTCTTTGAAAGCTTGCATCTGTAAGAGAGCTCCCTTCAATCCCCCTTATTACTGTTTCTTTCCCTGCCATGTGGCATGCTCTGAACTTGCTGCAGAAGAGGGAAAAGTAGTTCTTCGCCAACTTGGCTGCCTCTATTGTAAGGCCAAACCAGAGCAGATGGCTGATAGCTACCATCAAGACATTTTTGTGGAAAGTCTCATATGGGAGGAGGCTGTCTGCCCTCCCTGTTGCGCTAATACAGGCCGATCGGAAAGAGATCGCTGGAACTCACGGAGCACGTGCGGTCTGGCTGTGTGTGCAGTGGTGGGCAGCCTCGTGGGGGCTTTTCTGGAGAGGGAATGTACTGGTGGGTAAAGTGAAGCTGACAACCTGCATAGCCTGTTCAGAGTTAATTTGATTTGATTTTGCAGTACCTGAGTCTGGGGCTGATTGAAAACGCCTTGATCCAGGAGGGGAATGTGTTCGTTCTTGATCTTTTCTTTTAATGACGTGGTCAGATGTGCAGGGGTGGTGATGTACCACTAGTCCAGGACTCTTTACCGTAAAGAACCTCCCTGTGCCAACCCCGCAGAGATGGTTTTTCCAGCTCTGAGACATGTTGGTTACTGTATGACTTGCCGAGTAATACTGGGATTTCTCAGAGTATCTGAAATCTCTCATTTGTTTCCTCTTTTGGGGGTCATTGGAGGGGGAATCTTCCCTTTTTTTTCAGTACTTTCAGTGTTAGTGCAACTGTTCAGGTTTCCTCAGATAGTGACTCCATAATACTGAGGTCATGAAGTAGAGCTGCTTTCTCTACATCTTCCCTGTTCCTGGAAATGCCTCCCATCTCATCCTCTGCTTTTACACGGCTTGAGATAGCCTGGTCTTTTCTTTTTACACTGTGAAATCTGAGGAAGGGAACCTTGTTTGTTTTAAGGGGCTTGTAAGACTGTAGTGTGCTGGATAACAGTGGCAATATCTAAATAAACAGAGAAGCACTGCTAAATCCTTGCATTTTAATTCTTTCTGGTTTTCATGAGTTGATTTAATTCTACAGAGAGGTGTGTGTGGCCACAAAAGCAGGAGTTTCCAAGATAGGGTAGACGTTCAAATTTTCAGAGCCTGCGCAATATCACCGGGGCCTAGAGGCATTTGGAGCTATCAAAAGCGGTTCTGCTGGAGCTCTGGCTTCTTGTCCACAACACAAGAGCTTCACATTCTTTGAACTGTGTAAAACAATCATTTGAAACTGCTTTCATTTTTCCTTAATGCTGAGGCTTCTGGGATAGTTGCACTGCAGGCATTTCGTGTTGGTCAACCTACGGCCTGAACCTGTTGTGAGGCATTACTGCATGATCCTGTGAAATTCTGTATGTAGATGAAATATGAATAAATCTGAAATGTCTATCTATGTTGAATAATTTACCTGGCTCAGTTATCGAAGTGCTCGCTTCTGAAGCAGAGTGCAGAGCTTACCTCACTTGTTCATAGCTAAACCATTTGCTCTTCTGCAAAAAGAAATAGGGTATTCTTCCTGCAACAGCAATGGTTATCTCTTGCTCCTGAGCTTGCCTTGAGCATTCTCTCTCATGGAGTCCTTTGCACTAGAGGAGGGAAGAAAAAAGTTGAGAACAGGCAATTGTCCATATTCCTGCTCCGCATTCCTGTGTGGCTCTGGCTGTTGAGCCCATGAAGAGGGTGCAAGCTTTTATCTGCCTGCAGCTGTGCTGGGGTCCTCAAGTCTTCGGGAGGCAGAGCCTCATGCTTAGGCGGGGCTTTGCTCAGCCTCGTATGGGTTTGAATGCAAGCGTTTTAATGCTCGCTAATGAGCAAATGCTGCAAACTGTGTAGAAACTACATGTAGCTGCAAATTAGGAGGGAAACAATAGTGCTAAGTGAAGCCAATGTGTTTAAAGCTGGCAGTGATCAAGTAGAGGATTTCTGATGTGCAGCCTCCCCCCTCTGCTTTTTCTCTCCCTGCCACCCTTCTTCTGTTCTGTTTTCTTGGCCAGGCTGTAGCCACTGGGTAATAAATCTTGGGTACGAGTTGCTTGTTGAAAATAACTTCTGGAAGAAACGGTTTTGGTATTAGAGAGTCAGATGTGCTCTTGAAGGATCTGTAGTATAGTGTCCTAGCTAATCTACCTGCTAGAGGTGTGTGCCTAATTCTTTGCTTTACACAGAAGGGATAAAAATTAGTGATGTGTGAAATATTCCCTTTTCCAAAAGAGACTTAATTTTTATTTGTGGGCAAAACTGCATCAGTTTAATGGAACAGTTGATACATCAGTGCTATGCAAGAAAACGTGGCTTCCAAGAAACTGCGTGACGATAGAAGAATTACTTTATAGTCACCTTGCTCCTTTATCCTTAGCCTTTAATTCGGTTTATTCCTTCTCCTGTCTGACGTAAAAAAACAAGTCTCTGTAAACTCTTCTAGTTGTGTTCTTCCCTTGTCTCCAAACGCCACTTTGTTTCCTCTGGTGTTCAGTTAAACTGGTGTGTTCAGTCCTCGTGATGAAAGCAAGAAGAGAAGTTTTAGAGTGTTTGAAAATAACCAGAATATTTGACTGCTGGAAAGTTGGGCATCTGTCTCCCAAAATGAGAATGGGCAGAGAAGACAACCAGTATCTCTGTAAACATTGAAAGCTGCCTAAAAGAAAGGAGAGATTTGTATAACACAGTGTTTGTATGACATGCCACTTAAAGCAAAAAATGCCTTCCTCTCTGCAAGCTACCTTTTTCATTCTCCAACCTTTGCCAATGGCTAAAAGTCACAGAATCACAAAATGCTTTGAGTTGGAAGGGACCTTTGAAGATCATCTAGTTTTGTAAAATGACTGCTGTTTGCCAGGTGCCACCCGCTGAAACTGTTCCTCAGGTGAAGAAGGAGAAGCACAGTACGCAGGCCAAGAACAGAGCGAAGAGGAAACCTCCCAAAGGAATGTTCCTTTCCCAAGAAGATGTGGAGGCCGTTTCCGCCAATGCGACAGCTGCTACCACTGTACTCAGACAACTGGACATGGAATTAGTCTCAATCAAACGACAGGTATGGATGGGTTAGTTCAAGAATAACTGCTATTTTTGGTGGCAGTGCCTGTCACTGTCTGCAAAGTTCGCGGGAATTTGTAGCTTGACAGTGATGATGCGCATCATTATGTGGCTTAATTGACAAGCTGCTAGCCTTGTGCTAGAAACTAATGCAGCCCTGTGTTTTACTTCTCTTATGTTTTAGTTATGTGGACAAGCTCACTTTATACTTAAAGTGAAGCGAGGAAAAGTCCGTAGCACTGAATTGAAGGAACATTTGTTGGCACTTAGTGTTTCTTGCAGTTCAGAGTTCCTTATGTTTTAACTATGAACTTCCCTCAGATGACAATGATTTCAGCAGTATCTGATTTCCACCTGCAGCAATCAGTTTCCTTTGCCTTTTCATATGGTACTTTTCGAACAGGCAGATATGTTTGTTTTATTCTTTTAGACAGACAGGCATCATACAAACTTTCCTATGTACCTTTCGCTTCCCTGATGGATCTGCCTTTTAAACAAATGTTTTTCAAATATCTGCTAGTAAAGACAGGTTTACTACATGAGTCTGTTTCCTAGATCTGAACATTTTCACTGTTTTTAAAGCAGAGATCTGGCTCAAGCTCTTTGTTAAACTTAATAGAAATGGTATTTTGGCCTGAAGCCTTTTTCTCGGCACTCTGGGAGAATCGGAGCTCTCTAGCAGGCTTTGATTCATTACTTGCTGTGAACAGGGCCTTTCTCCTTATGCTGGGCTTCATACAGACCTGGAAGTTGGGGCAGTTCTTGCTCCAAATAACTTGCAGACATGACAGAATAAATTAAATGGGATCTCCTGATGTGCCAGCTGCTCCTGCATTCCTTTATTCCAATGTAACAAACCTCCCTTTTGGAAAAGGGAGATTGTAAGGAAAAACTGGAATGCTGAACTCGTGGGGTTCCTGCTGGGGCTGCTGGAAATAAGGCTTGTCCAAAGATTGTTTTTTTTTTTTTTTTTTAAATCTTTGTTAAAGGGATGAAACTTTCTTTTCAGATTCAGAATATCAAACAGACAAACAGCGCACTCAAAGAAAAACTTGAAGGTGGTATAGAACAATACAGACTTCCAGAGGTAGGATCATTTTCTGACCCTTATTTATTGTGGAGATAAATGCTAGTCTGTGTTTGCATAGCAGGGCTATTCCTGTTGCCAGTAAACAAGGACCAATGTCCTGTTAGTTGTCAGTGTGAATCGAGACCCATTACCATATTCACTGTTGTTGTGTAATGGAAATAGGAGATGAGAAGAAAGTAAGAGCAGAATTTAACATGTGAAAGTGGTTTTTAACAGAAGCACAGGTATCCCAGATATACCATGTTTTGTCAGTGTTGTATCTGTATGCCCTTGTGAGAGAGGTGGTTGCTTTGCTCTAAACACTGAGAACTGTAGGAGATGTTAGTGGCCCATCTTTCTCTTGGTGCTTGGTGCTTTTGTTGTTTTCCTTCCAACTCTGGTACCTCATGCTGGAAATAATTTGACCAAGATTACAGAGGGTGTCTGTGATAAAAACAAGTAGGTGCTTTCGAAGAGCGTGGCTCTTGGTTATCTGCTCAGACCATTCCCTATCTTTTTGTATTACCGTGACTTAAGGCGCAGTGTATGTCACATTTAACTGAATGGATGCTATACGCAGTTCTTTTATGTTGAAAACATTGTTGCTACTAAAAGGAATGATATAGTTTGACTAACAGTTAATTCCTTGTGGTTTTTTGTGAGGTTTTTATGAGCTCAGATACAAGTGAAAGTTGTTGCTTATGTAAATGAAGTTGTCTGTTTTTTTTTTTTATGTCTAGGTCGTTCAGAAATTTAATGCACGTTGGACCACAGATGAGCAGCTTCTTGCTGTGCAAGGTATGGCACTACAAGTCTATCTGTCCTTCAGTTGGTGATAATCAAAACTCTGCTGCATTTCAGAGCTGTTGCCCTCAGGGGCTAATGAAGGATTTTGACATTGCTGTGTACTAATGCCCAAAGAATAGAATTGAACGAGGAAACAATATCCCCCCTACCCCTCCCCAGGCAGTATAATTTGCACCATATGAATGTTTGCAAATAATCTCTGCTTGTCCAAGCTTTCAGAAAGTGAAACTCTACTGGAGTCACTGCTGTGCTCTTTGCCTGTGTAAGTTCTCAAGTAGTACCGGCAGACTTACACTGGTCTTCTAGACTTGGCTCTGCCCATCTTTACTACACCTCTATTTTCTTGTCTTCTCCAGGGCTAGTCTTAACCGTCTCTTGCCCAATTTAGACTTTTTTTTTTTTCTGGATTAATCTCAGAAAGGCTTGAAACCTTGACAAAAGTTCAGCTTCGGATCCTTATGCTGTGATTTGAGCCTGATTTGTGGTCTTTGTGGAAATAACACATTGCTTTTGTTTTTATTTTTGTTGTTTTTAGCAATCAGGAAATACGGCCGAGACTTTCAGGCAATCTCTGATGTGATTGGAAACAAATCTGTGGTGCAAGTGAAAAACTTTTTTGTAAATTATCGACGTCGTTTCAACATAGATGAAGTTCTACAGGAGTGGGAGGCAGAGCACGGCAAAGAGGAGACAAATGGAACCAATAGCCAGAAGCCTGTAAAATCCCCTGATAATTCCACTAAAATGTCTGAAGAGGAAGATGAGGTAAATCCAATTTAAAAATCACATAAAATTCCCAATCTGAGCTCAGTTCAGATAGGTATTTTTGTGTGTATTTTGCAAAAGCCATTTTTGACAATTTTCAATCTGAGCATATATCACTCCCTCTGGATATGCAGATTCCAATACTGATTTTGGGAATTGGGAATTCCAGACATATATGAAAGTGGAAAGAGAACAGTTAATTTGCAACCCTCTGACAGTATCTGTATCTCATCAGCCCATGGACTTTTTAATGCCTCTTGCTGCCGACACCCCATACATCGTTATCTCACTTGGATGCTTTCCCTGCACTCAGTTTTCCAAGCTATTCTAGGTTTGGCTTTGTGGGACTGTACAGTCTTCTGAGGCAAAACTCTCTCTTTCATTTTTGACGATGGAGTGGTTTCACTCGGGGGAAGGGAAGAAAGCTGTAAACAAAGGCAAGTGTGTGAAACTGTTCACTCTGGAATTACCTAGAGGCAAAGTTTGCTTGATTTACAGCAGTTTCTGTGAAGACAGAAGTTCTAGAAACAGCCTCTCCTTGATGGAGCTTCATGGAGTTAACACTTCTCCAAAGTTAATGTGTGTTTAAAGTTAACTAAGAGACTGTAGAGTGTTTAAATATGAAATTTAGTTACAAAAATGTAATAATAACAGAGTCTTGCAAAAGAAAACCCCGTTAGAGGTTTGCATGTTAAAAATGTCTGATCTCGGACTCCCTTTGGCCTAATTTTATAAAAGAGCTTGGCACAAAAGCCTTATCTTCTAAATGCAAGCACAGTCAACAGTGTAAGTCGAATTTTGGTCTCACATGGACTAAAGACTTCTCAGTATGCTGTATATTTTTGTTGCCCTGATTATGGTTGGCTCACTTTTACATTGCCGTTCAGACATTCAGAGGGCAGAACTTCATTGCTTCACAAATCCTAATAATACATTATTCAAAGATGCTTATATTTGGGGACTAGGTCCGAAGGTATGACAGATGAACAAAACCAAACTCAAAAAATTTGCCTTTTCAGAAGGGTGTGAGTGAAGTTGTCCCATTCTTCCAGAACTGAGAGGTGGAACAAAGAAGCAATGGTACTAGTACGTAGCCACCCTTTTGAAGGACAGGTGGCTCGTGTCACTGCCTTTTCCTGTGACCAGTAGAGTTGTATCTGTTGGCAGTGCAGAGTTTTTCTCTGAGCCCTTTGAGATTCTTTCTGGCTTCAAATACAGCCTTGCTCCTGAAAGTTACAGTCAAAAAAAGGGGAGTCTCACTTGAGATAGGAGAAATATGGTTGCAGCAGGAACTGAAGCGTGCTGATGTGGCCAAGTGTGTGGATACTGGAGCAATGAGGATCCCAGACAAGTTAGCAGAGGAGGAGGGAGAGCGGAGGCATGACTGCAAGGTCTGGCGAAATGACTGGTGGAGCAGCAGTCATGATCCCCAAACTAATGATGGAAAGTGCCCAGGCTGGAGCCAAGCAAGTGCTACGTGGTGGAAAGGGGACCAAAACAATAGGCTGGTGGGAATAGTTGCAAAGCCTAGAGAAGGGGCAGCTATTGAGAGAGTCGGGCAGTTTGCTGTGCCCTGCAGTGCAGTGAGGGATGACGGCAGAGCCTGCCTGCACCAGGCTGACACAGGCAGGAGCCAGGCAGGGTGGCAGCAAGCTGCCAGCCGTGACATACCGTGTATGCCTTACACCAGCACCATGTGGCTTGTCATTCTTGATGAAGCCTATTCTGGACAATAGGAACTGATCTGTCACGGCTGGGAGGAGGAAGGTGCTGGCAGCATGGAGGGGATTTTAACTACCAAGCCTGCAGCCATTTATAAAAATCCACAAGGAAGGGACACAAGGGTGTTGCACAGGGGACATCTAATAGCTGCCATGCTCTCTGAGCACATCAGCCATTGCATTTCAGGCTGGCTAGAAATGTGGTGCTCCTGCCTTCAGACCTAGCATAAGCACAGTGCTGACTGGGTGCCTGTCTGAGCAATTCTGGGGACAAAATGAAATGTCATTTGGATTATCACATAAGTGATCTGTGTGGGCTAGGAGGGGGGTTCCTGGTCCCTCCCGAGCTGCGCAGTACCATGCTCTTGAGAGCACTAGAGCACTTGCACAGGTGACTGGTCAAGTCAGGTGGACTCAGTCAGCAGTAGCCAGGAGAAGACTTTGCTGGCCTAACACTGAAGTCCCTTGGGTGCTTTCTCCCCTGGCATGCCTTGTCTGCCTGGCCACCAGCCTAGTAAGAGCTTCGTCAGCCCTCTGACTGCTCTGGGCTTTCCCCTTCAGTGTGTTTTCATAGCAAGTGGCCACAGTTCCTTTTTTTTTGTTTTGGGTTTTTTTTTTTTTTTTTAAGGGGGGGGGGGGGACTGCTGATTATAAAAAAGCCCCAACCCCCGCTTTAAT